GCTGTGGGTAAGGATCACGGGGGGCAGAGGCGTTGTGCTTTTTTTGTTTTTTATTTCCCCTTCGAGGTAGAGGTGGGCTTGGTTAAAGGAGAAAATAATTTGTCTGGTCACATCCTCTTCTGACAGAAGAAGTTCTTTCAGAGGAGCTGAGATGCCCTGTGAGGTCTGCGGGGAATACAGACGGGCCCATTAAAGTGCCAAGCTTTCCTGCAGGACTACAGCTTTCCACTGACAAATCAGCTTCACAGTGGCTTCAGCAGATAGGTTACCTTAACCAGCTACCAGATAGCAGAAAGTACAGAAATTTTCCCATTCCCTTCACATCGTGTGCTGAGCTCAAACCAGCTTATACGTGTGTGATGGAATAGCAGGAGAGAAAATAGGACTGTCAGCAAGGAAATGCTCCCTGACTGCCACGACAGGAGCCTCAGCCTCTGAGCTGATGGGGTGACAGACGAGAAAGCAGCTCCGCTCTTAACTTGAGCACAATTTATTCCAACAAGCTCACCTGAAATGCTGGAAAGGGACAAACTACAGCTATTTCAACTCCTACCCGTACAAGTTTCCTCAGACAGTTTTCTTCTACTTACCCTTTCCAGAAAACATTGTAGCGTTCCCAGACTGCATTGATGACAGCGCAGTGGAGAGGAAGTTATTTGCACTTCCTCATCTGGACAAGTTCAGTCCTGCTTTACTTCAAACACTTACTGCCTTTAAGATGTCAGATCCCACTACTTCTAATTTACATACTTAAGCCTAACACATTTAGTAATGAGCTGTATCAAGCATGACCACTCCTACTGAAATTTGACCACAAGCAGCTCTGTGGATTTTATTCACATTTAGGAGATACACTACAATCTTGCTGCTACGCTGTTGATAAACGTCAGTATCATCAAACAATGTGTTTGAGGATTTCCACAGGTAGGGTCCCAAGCTCTCTCTCCTGAGACTCTCTACCTTTTCAAAACCAAGAGTTAAAATGAATGAACTGACATGCCTCACCTCACATACACCGTGAGACAGGCAGGGAACTGCATTTCAACCATGCAGGTTTCAAAATTTCTCCTATTTTTGCAATTCCAGCAGAGCTACAGCTGGGAGGCACAGGGTGGGGGGAATCTCTGCAAATCCAGTCCAATTTAGAAAAGCCTTAAATTACTAAGTAGAGTGTTTCACTGTCATTCTGTTGCACCTTTTTTGTTGCTAGCACCCATCTCTGTCAACCTCTCTCCTTATGGGACATGCTGACAGGCTGAGCATGAGCCATGGGCATGAGTTTCATTCCAGCTTTTTAACCATGAGTTCAAATATCAAGCAACCCTTGTGAAGAGAGGAGAGAGACCCTCGGCTGCAGTTCATCCCACACTTCTCCTTTTGCTGCCAACAGGATCCGATGCCCCTTCTCCCCACTCCTGCCCACGCACTCCAGGTACTAAGGGAGAGCGACCCAGGCTGCCTAGCAAACGCCACCCTGCTAAGAGCTAAACTTCACTGTGACCCCATTTCTTCCCTTCGATCAGCCGCGCTTTCCCCCTAAGCCTTGAAAACAAAGAGCTGGGCAGGCTGGGCACAGTCAGACTTTTGTGCCAGGGGAGGCAGAAGGGCAGGATTTGAGAGGGGACCCTCACACCCCCTTTATGCTTCAGCAAGTTCCCAGCACCAGAGTCACTGTCAGCTGAATCTTTCTGTTCGACTTGTGCCCTTTAGGAAACGTGCCCTCCAGGTTCAGATCAGCTCTTTGGCTTGAGACTCAAATCTCTCAGTTCCTCTGCAAGGAGAAAGTGACACCAACCGTTATTCTCACAGTTTTATTTGTAAAGGACATAGCATGAAAAGCTGTATTTCAATGTACTTCAAAACCTGAAAAACTCATGTCAGTTTGTGATATGTATGTTAAAGTGCTTGATATAACAATACTTTTACTAATGTTGTCTTGAAAATAATCCAGTTCTTACTCAGTTAGTAATAATGTAAAGACAAAATATACGTAATGGAGACATTTAAGGGTCATTTTAAGCTATACAGGGCACATTTGTACATTTCAAGTGTAACATACAATACTTCCCCTTAAGATGCGCACCTTCATTTGATTGAAAGAAGGAATTTTCTCAAATATGCCGTCGCACAACTATTCTAAAAAGACATTTTTGAACAATGATATCTAATGCACAAACCAACTCAGAATAAACATGAGTAGATTTTTCACTAAACAGTAGAATTTCATTCGTTTCAGAGAATTATAAATACACATTTTGTACACAGTGAGGCATTTGATTCTCTGACTCCCTTGAGTTACCATGCTGGGTGTTAGTACAACAGGACTATGCAAACTCAGACATCTGCAGACGGGTATTGGATAGGAATTTCTTTTTAAGAAGCAGATACAAGAGAGCTTTGGTCTTTTCCAAGATTCCCTTTCTCAACCCATGAAGGTGCTTTAACACTGAAGTAAAAACCGTGTTAGCTTAGAAGAATCCTGATGGGTTTCTCACCATTCTAGTGGGTAGAATGATTTCTGTAAACCTTACAGAAAAAAAACCTCACAGTTTCCAATAAACAAAAGTAGCCTACTAAAATAAAAATAATCATACATGGTAGAATAAAAATTCACCACGAAGAACTGTACTCCCAAGGCTGTCAAATAACTAGTCTTCTAGGAATCTGAGGCACTCAGCTGTGCCCCTTTCAAGGTATCTTAGGGTGTTTTATTGCCTATTAGACATACATTATTTTTATTGTATTATTATTAATATGATGCAAATCCTGACAAAATCAAACAAGTCAACACTTGCCAAAAAAGCTGACATGAAGTTGTGTTAAAGTTAAGTGCTAAAGGTTCCTTAATGTAGTTTGAAATGGGGGAAGGCCCTGTTTTGAATTTTAAAATTTCTCAGGTTTTGACTTATTTTAACTTAAGAACAACTTTATGTGGTTATTGCCCTTTTCTCTCCGTGTGGTTTATTCATCTATGCTTGACCTTTAGAGGTGCCCGCATTTCTACTTTATCCTGCTCGCACTTAACCCGTGTCTTGTTGGATAAATATTACGACTGCTTAAGTCATAAATAGTCTTTGGAGAAGTAGGCAGCAGTATACTTTTGAGAAGTATCCAGCTAGCAAATGCAGATGATGCTGTGAAGAAATCCAAGGACTAAAGAGGTTATTATTTCAGTAAAATGACAGTCACTTAGATGGGGTTGGGCGTGAAAAAATCATGTATAGCAGTCATTAGACATAAAAGGGCTGAGCTGTAATAGAAATCAAAACATCCTAAGCAGTCATTACCAAATAATGCTGCCACATGGTTTCTGGTGCTAAATGTATAATTTACTGATAGAGTTAAGTACTAGGGACGCATTTTCAATTGCTGCTGAAGGGTTGTCATGCATCTTCTGCTGACTTTAAGCAGACTTGCCTGGCCAGACAGAAAACCCTAACCCTCCAAATTTCACATTTCTGGAAACATAAGAGAGATGTCACACAGCCGTGGGCTCTGGCTACTAACTCATGACACCATTCACAACCTTTACATTAGTTACTCACGCCCACAGCAATGACATGGCAGTGCTGCCTACGGTATTTGGGACAAGTTTAGTCAGTATAAGGAAATACAAGCCCAGGAGGAAAGAACAGTTATTACAAACTGGAACCCTCATTAAAGTCAACGACTCCCTGACAGCATTATTTTACTTCTTTCTTAGAAGTAAAAAAACCTTCTATAACATAAAACTCTCCCTTCTAATGTAGCGAAGTCACATGAAGAGCTTTCTTCTGGCTGGGAATATGATGTGAAACTTTGACACTAAAGTGACTGCTGTTATAAGAACTGGACAGCAGAAAATAGAGAAGCTTGACAAAAGGCAGGTGAGAAAGCAAACCCTAATTTTCATTCCTCTTTCCTTTTCCTTAGCTCTCATCCCTCTATCCACCATGTGCACGCTGTACCGAGACCTGCCACTCCCCACCATTCCCAAGTCCTTCCTCATGCCACGTGAGAGCACAGTGCAAGGCAATACACTTACAGTACCAGTCAGGGGCCTTTCCCAAGCCACAGCTGACAGTCAGAAATCCACGGACAAAATGGGCAAGATCACAGAGAACAGACAAGTGAAAACAAACACCTATATTTAAACTAACCTCCAAAAGCTAAAACCAGATGAAGCTAACTGTGCTGTCAGATCCTTCCAACTCCCATCCACAAGAACGGAAAATACACTCCATATTTGCTGCATGGTATCCACAAGATGATTTTAATGTAATCTATTGTTAATTTTTTAGCGTACAGGATTTCGGTTGCTCCCAGTTCCTCTTTAAGAGCTGTATCTATATATACATGCTGTATTACTAACACATTAACTGGAAAGTGTAGGAGAGGAGCCTCAAAATACCGAAGTGAGATGCTTTTTTCCTCCTTTAGCTTCATTCCTTTTCTTTTTTTTGTAGCTAGATAATTTAAAGAAAAAAAAGTAATCAAAGATTCTGTACTTCCTAGGAACACTCATTCTGTGGGATAAAGGAAGACTCATAACCTGTCAGCATTTCAAAACCAGCTGATACAGTTCAGTAGCACAGCAACATCGGTGTTTGTAGCTCTACAGCAAGTGACTCTTCTCAAGTATAGCAAGAATTTGGTATGAACCAAATTCCTCAACATGGGGAAAAAAGAAAAAAAGTCACCCACAACACAAACTGGCTGATGGTGAGGGGGAATCATCAGAACATCCAGACAGGCAAGGGACACACCGAGTGAGTCAAGCAAGACATCGTTCCCCATCTCAGGCTGCAGCAGCACCGCTTAATCAGGTCTCTCATACTCTCAGGCTCCGAGGCTGACCGCAGTCCTCTCCAGGGTTTAAGCATTTCAACACTGTCTCCCCTTTTGGAGATCAACAGAAGTGACACAAAAGACCTTACAGAAAAAAAATGATGACTCAACTTCCGTGCAAGGTTTGAGTCTTCAAACAAACAAAAAACTAAGAGACACCATGTACAGCAGGGTAAACCAGCATATGCTCACAACATTTCCAAGAGTGAGACAATCACAATGGCTACATAAGAATATTTGCTGTATTAATTTGCAATACCTGAAAAAAGCCCTGCTGAGTTTGCGCCGTATTTACACAATGATTGGCTTCTTCCTTGCAAGCAAGTAGCGGCATCCCTTCCCACCTCAGTCGTTCCCTCCCCCCTGTCCTTCCCCTGGGTTTAAGCTACTCATAGTCAGAACAAGAACATTCAGTCTAAGAAAAATTTCTTAGAGTAATATAATTTCTTAGAGAAGGTAGCATATTTACACACATCTAACACATGAAAATACTCTATTTTATACTAAATTTCCGTTTGAAATAAACTACAATACTGCATCTTAGCTTTCTGCAGCTTTAGAGGACAGTCCCCGTCGGGCACAAACTGGGCTTCCCACTCCCGCTTCAACCGGCAGCTTTGCCTTACAGTGGTGTGCTACCATCGCGTTCAAGTCCTGACAGGTCTCCAGTTGTGGTTTGCTTGCTTGAGAAAGGAATAATGAACTTCTCAGCAAAGCCGTGCTAAACATCCACTCCTTTAATGAGCGATCCTTCTAGGATGATGTTGAAATCTTGCAGTGTCTGTAGGACTCGAATAAGGGAGTTGACAGTCATGCGGTCCCGTAGGAGAGCGTTCTCCTCATACATCCTTGTAATGGGCGGGCACTCTGCCAGCAAGGGGATCCACTGAGAGAGCAAGTGGTCCCTGCAAAGGGGATGAAAGGAATTATTTTAGCACCAAGTACAACAGATCTCAAACTGAAATTCTTCTCCAAGAACACAACCCCAAACACGCAGTCTCTTTTTGTGCGTGATGCGTGTTGTTTCCACATAAAAGTTTCCTGTGTGATCATAACTCCTGATTTTGTTAGTAAAATACAGGTAACTGAACACAGCATAGGAATGAAGGTGGAAAGATATCAGCAGAATCGGACAACTGACTTTTTGAAAGAATTCAGCAATGTTTTCAGACCATGAACAGGGAAAGTAAAACTCAGGAAAAAACAATAGACTGTTTTCCAACTGGTTTTCCATGTATCCAGACAGACAGGACAAAAATGGCACTTATTTCTAGACACACCAACTTCCACCTTCCAAAATACAACTAAGGCCCCCCTGCCCCTCCCTGAGTGCACGACAGAAAGCATCCTATTAGGAAAGAAAGATTAGTCTAGAATAGTTTTGTCAAAATTGTATCAGACATCCCATTTTCATAGACAAAGAGATTCAATGAGGATTTAGAAATGCACCAGCTCTTGCAAAGGAACTCTGCATTCCCAAAGCCAGCACTTCATCAAAAATAAAATTTCAAGACACATTTCATACATATGACTGTCAAGCTAACAGTTATAAAAGAGTTCAAAACATTTTTAGCAGTTTAGACACTAGCTATGTATCATTACTGCTTCTTTGCTCCAATTTTTCATGTAGTATTAAAGCTGCCTAAAATAGGTACTGCATAATAGATAGGTATGAGATGTCTTAAAATGGAAAACTAAAGATAATAGAAACGGTGTAAAAATATTCTTTTAGTCTAATGCAAGAGGACACATTTAAGGAAGAGCAGTTAAGTACCTTGTCCCCAGGCAAACCAGAATTTGGAATTTGCCGTCCTTTCCAATGTTCCTTGGAGCTGTATTGATGGCATTCACATAATGACAGAAGGTTTTGCATGAAGATCTCTGAAGCAAAAGGGCCTCCTCGTTGTCTCCAATCTGGTCACTGGTTTCAAAATAAGCAACAGCTTTCTCTGTGGTAGGAAGAAAATCAGAACCCAGTGAGCAGAAGTACGTCATTGTGACATAGAATTACGCAAGGGAATCCTTAAAAAAAAAAACACCTGCCAAGACCTATTGCACAGTTTATATATGGATTCCTCGCTCTGAAGACCGTAGGTAGGTGGTGATCTCCACCTTTGCTACATAGCAGTGGTCAGCAGACCGGCCAACTTCTAATACAGTTAGGTAACATCAAGGAGCCGCACCAGAGTACCTATCAATGGTTTCATTGTAAGTGATACCATCAGCTTTGATTTTTTCACCTTTTCTGAGTAAGCACTTACCCTCAGGCTAAGTATCTCAACTTGCGAGCATCTTTTAAGGGACTAAGTATGTCTTAAATAACCACAACATAGGCCTACAGATAAGCATCACCAGAAGACCAGTGCAGTGATTAGGAGAGTTCTCATAAACAACTAGAAACCTGAACCTTTCACTCCCTGCCCTTTCCCAACTCTCCTCCTAATGTCAATTGCTACTCTACCCCAACCTCCAGCCTACTGTCTTTCTGGGTAGAAAAGCAGCTGCTTGAACATTCACTATGAATAAATGACTAGAATTTGAAGTATTTTTACATTTCTGCACAGATTCACACTCATTCCTTATACAGAGTTGAGTATTTCTCATCTTCCATCTTGTTTCTCATTGACTTTAAGGAACCTGGAGCAGGTGCTAGGCAGAAACAAATGGCACCCTAGCTGATGAGAATCCAAGGTCTGTGCGTGAGCAGTCATTTTGCCCTAATCTTTCTTCTGCCTCCAACTCACATACGAGCTTACCTATGAAATCCCAGATGAAGACATTCTTATGAAAAATGCGAGCTGATTTGAATCCGTGGTGGAAGACCTGCTCCAGTGCTGCGACCAGACCATTTTCTCCACACAACAGAATGGTAAGGCTCCCTCTCTGTGGGAAAGGGAGAGTCTGTAAGTACAACTTGCCTTGTTTGTATGCCAGAAGCTTCAAACCTAAAGGTTAACAGTGTCTACTGGTGCTTCAGTTCCATTTCTGTTTATAAAAGTATTTACATGCATTGTAGATACCAGGCAAGTAATGAAAAGTAGGAAGTACCTCTTTCTCTGGCTTGTGAAAGTGTTTCACAATATTGTTCACGGCTTCCCCAATTCCCTCTTGGATCTGTCCCGCATTAGGCTCTGTGAAATGATGGAGAACATACTAGCTGAAGATACAAACTTTAAACCATGCATCAAACTCTCATGATGACATAACTTGAACTGCAGAAATTACTCTGTATCTTTAACAGAGTTCAGGCAATCATTTGTCTTGAGTAAACCTGAGCCTTAATTACAAGCAACTGATGAGCAACCCTGGAATAGTCAAATAAATCACCCTACTTAAAAATGCACAACTCAAGGATCTGGCTTGATAAATATTTCATTTGAGATAATCACATCTTGCTCATCGCACAGAGTACAGCAACCCTCACATGAAGAGACAAGTGCTGAAAAGTTGTAGCCCAGGCAGTTGACTCCTACATAACGGAGGCCAGAAAACCCAGCACTCATTAATTTCTGACTTGAACCCACGATGTTTTATTGAGCCAAAACAACTACCTACTTTAGGCACATGTCTAGTCATTGTACCAGTGTGAGGGGCCACAGGCAGAGAATATTCCTTATTAATGGTTCCAAGACTAAGTTATCTTCTGTATTAAGATGTATGTCATGTTTCTGCTCTCAATCTGTTTAGCTGTATGCCTTTGCTACTGAATCATGCTATGCCTCCACCTGCTACCATCTCATCTTCCTATGCAGGTACCTGCAGAAACTTATCTAGTCCCTCATTCACTTTCTACTTAAAACAGACTGAACTTTTAAAACTTCATTTTAAGCAGAAGCTTTCCAGACTTCAGTCATTTTCATGGTTCTTCTGTGAGTCCTTTCTAGTTTTTCAGACATACATGGGTTGCTATTAGCTTGTCCTACAACTGTTATTTTGGAAGCATGGAGTAATTCAGTATGATTTTAGTACATAATACTAACAAGTCTAACACAGACCCTCATGTAGCTCACAAGACAAGTGAATTATTGGGCCTTGGTGTTCTCAGACCTAAGGAAATGCTTGGCAGGTAGCTCTGGTGCCCACTCCTCCAGCTAATATGGACTCACACATGTGAAGAGCTGCAGTGGTTCCGCGGTGGTTTTTAAATGCTGCATTACTCTTGGAGGCTAATCTTTCCTTGCTTGACATTTCAGCAGTCATGTCCTCTAATTTTACAGGAGCCGGACAGATTTATGAACAGGATCTACGCTGTGATCATCTGTATGTTTAGTGGAAAATGCCTCACATGGCTCTTAGAGTTCCATGCCCTGTTGTAGCCAGATGCAGTTACTCATAAAAACTAATTTTAGGGACGTGAAGTAGATGTCCCTTTGCGTCCCTCTGGAGATGTGCTCCTCCAGAAGACAGTTTGCAGCAACCCCATCTGAACTGCCCTTCAGAGAGGACTGTCTTCCCACTGACTGCAGAGTGAGCTGGGAAGCTGAGCAGCATCAGCTACTACAAATTCATCTCCTCCTCCCTCATCTCCTGTCTCCATGCTCCAAGGAAAGAGATTATTATGTCTCAACTGTCAAATGGGGACATTGAAAGAGGCAATGTGTACAGTCACAGAGTAAGGTGCAGACACACAAACTGGGGCAGGAAAAACTCATCAGCTTGCAGCTGTTCCTCTGCACCAAGCCTTGCTTCAGTAGGAGCTCTCCTGTTCACAGGAGCTTCAGTTCTCAGCAGTTGCTGCCTCCTTCTCTAGTGCCCTGGGGACAAAGGAAAGGACTTACTGGTGTTCTTCCCTGTGAGGGAAGTGATGCTCAGTCGTCGAGCCGTGGTAGGAGATTTCTGCTGCGGCGGGGTACGGCACTGCTTTCCCAGCTCTTCGTCAGACGTGGAGGGGACAAGTTCTCCAATGAGTATTCGCTCCAGACTGCCATCATCAACGCCCTTTCCCAGCCATCGCCCGCAGGGAAACCTGCCATGCAGCCAGCACAAGCACAGGTCAGCCACACAGGTAATCTAGCTTGATCTCAAAGTTAGAGGGACAGCTAGCGCCCACAAACACTGCTAATAGACAGGGAATACTCCATAGCCAGAAACCTTTCACAAACCAGAACTCAGCAGGCAGCATCCCCTGCACCACAACTGACAGGACCAAACCAGAAAACTACATTCACTTCCATCCTCAGGAAAAGGGAAATTCGCAAAGCTTGCATGAAAGCACGGGACGACCAAAAGTGTTATACACATACTGCATGGGCCACATCTTGATTTCTGCTGCGTTATTTTTCACTTGCAACCACAACTGATATTCAACCTTTACAAATACCATGATGATTAACAACTAAACCCCCACACGGAGTTCCCACCCAACTGAAGCTGTGACGTCTCCTCATACTCAAACCTTACCTCACATTTTATTGCTGTACTTTTTGACCCCCTCCACAGTCCTAACGAAATCCACGCACACGTCCACAGCCCCAGTGCTTGTACCCCATTTCCTCCTGCTTTCCCCCATACGCTGTGGCCAACTCTGAGCTCTGGAGCTCACCTCTCTGAATTATAGTTTTCCAAGTCCACATTTAGAAAAAAAAAAATTAAGTCTGCTGAGCCAGATGTTTTGTAAAACCAATGATGAATTAGGATGTCATTTTGACACAAGAGGTATGTACTCAATAGAAGATTAAGAAGTCATCAAAAACTTTTATTTTCTTGTAATCCCAGTTTCTGTACATTTGTTACGGTACTTAGATATTTGAATATTTTTTAAAAGAAAAAGAAATCAAAGATTTGTCCAAAACTAGCATTCCAGCTCTTGGGGGTTTGAAAAGTTCATTTGTGCACAATTTTAACACACTACTTTAAATCAAGAGATGTATTTATTAGACACAAACATATGAATCACTTCAAAAGTATCCACACTGTCTGTCATGTCTCAGAGAGATGCAAAGAAAATCCTACATTCAAGTCTCATTTAATACTTAGCCGATTACTTGACTTCAACTAGGGGTTCTGAAATGAGAGAACCGGGGGTGAGGGGGACCAACTCAACCTTATTGGTTACCCAAATCAGCCCACAGTGGAATTTCAGACAAAGAAAATTAAAACTTGTTGCTTACTTGTATGTGTGTCCTGTTATTTCATTTCGGACCATGACACAATCAACCAGCCACTTGGCTAGTAGCCCTGAGTTGTCATGACCAATCTGAACCGTTGTCAGCTTCCCTAAATTCTGGCACTGAAATGAATAATAATTTTTACTTAATTTAAAAAAACAACAAACACCACACATTCCCACCACATGCACACGTATGGTCTCAAATGTATGTTTTTATTCAGTTTTCTTTGATTTATACAGCAAGTATTTTCAGCCAAACATGCAAAGTGTTTTGAAAAACAGAATAATTATTTTAAGACAGGAGAAAAGAAATACCCTGAAATAAAACTATTAAAAGCTTGTGAAGAGATTACATTCTTTGTTGTGAGCACTCTGAATATTTCTGAGAAGTGTTAATTACAAATTTCTGAGCTAAGGTGATAAAAAGGTGTGCTTTTATAGAAGAAATAGATCTTCAGTACAAACAGCTTTTCAAAAAAGCATTTTGAGCATACTAACCTTCAGTTGACTCACTCTACACTATGAAGCAGTCCTAAATCCTTTATAATTTCCAAAGATTGATTTGCTTATCGTTGGGCAAGACAAAAATCACTGACATGAGACTCTTAACATCACAAAGAGACAGAACAAGGAAAACAAGGGACTGTGAATTCCAGTGCAATATGTAATTGTAGGTGGGGCTGGCAGCAACATCTATTAATGTCACCTAAACACTTCCCTTGCAAGACCTTGGTTTTCATTGCTTCTACTACTGCCAAACAAGCAGCTTGGACTGACATTTTCCATAGTGGGTGGCTACGCAAGTCAATATTTTAGGAAAGCTTCAGCCAAAGGAGTATTCCAGAACAGTATTAGTATAGTCCTTAGGAATGTCCAAATATGTTATTTTGCTTGTTGGAAGCCTGGAGATCTTTTCTACAAAATACTAGTATCTCAAATGAGAGGCAGCCATTGTATCACGAAAATATCCTCACTATCTCTGTTAAAATCTAACTTTATTTGGCAAGAGTGGATTTTTGGGGGGTTTTTTTACTATTGTGGTTGAAGACCAGTCTGCATATGGTCAATGGATGCAACTTCAATTTTAGTCACAGATTTGCCTACAAAATCACTCCTTACTGGATATGGTACAGCCCGGAGCTGTAGCAGCCTGATGGGGCTTTCCCTGCAGTTCCTCCTACTAGCTGCTTTGGGTGGCACCAAGCCAACCTGTAATTGATGGGTGGGAAAGCCGGGTAGTCAAATGCAAAGAGAAAACCACAGCGAGCATGGAGAAGAGATTCCGATGGGGATGGCGGCTCTGTGGTTTGCTGGGGGTAGCACTCAAAGCTGGGAAGTTGAAGAACACAGGAGTTAGACTGGCTGGTTGGAAGGAAAGCAATGTCGGATAAGGAGCTGGAAGTGGGAGGAGGAGAAATTTGGGACTGGCCAGAAGAAAGAAAGAGGAGAAGAAATCTGGGACCCGGGTGGTGGTAAGTGGGAAGACAAATTGAAAGAAGGGAAAAGAAACTAGGAAGGGAAATGAGGGGTCAGAAATGAGCCCTGAAAGACAAAACTAGGATAGCTGGCAAGATGTGGAAGGGAATGAGGTGTGGAAATAGAGTGGCTAAGTGAGAAAAGAGGAGCCCGAGGCTGGGACAGGGACAGCAGTGAAGCCTATGGTTAAATGTGGTACGTGTGCATCTAGCACAGGAGGGGCAGGCAGCACTATTTTCCTGGTTTTGAATTTACAGAGACCTTGAACACCTGGACAGAGTCTGAAATACTGTGATCTTAAGGCAATAAACCCTCACCAAATTAATGTTTACTTGGAAGCCTGTTTCAAATTGAAAAGTAAAAGGTAAAGAGCATGTACTCACCTCAAATGTCATTTCTAGGTGGTTTTTAGGAATCTGCATTACACCTGTATCTCCTAGTTCTCCCGACACACAAATCCACGGGTTTGATGTGGTTATTGCATTGCTTAGTTTTTTGATGGGAATTATCACTGACCTATAAGGGATCACTAAGAAAGGGGGAGAGTAAGTTAGTCTTGACTTTTTTTACTCCTCAGAGTAAACCACCCCTTGCCCTCACAGGTAAGTTCTCGTCCCATGTCTCAACAGCCTAACAAGGAGAACTCCTCCTCGCTTCTCCCTATGAAGGGCCAGACAAACCTACGAACCTGGAGAGTGCCTGGCTGCGGCGGCAGAGACTCTCCCCTCACGGAGAG